TAAGAAATTGAATCCATTATGCAAAATCATACTTGGGAATTGGTGGATCTTCCACCAGGTTCTAAACCTCTTGGATATAAATGGATATTCAAGAGGGAAAAATGAAAATAGATGGTTCAATTGACAAGTATAAAGCAAGACTTGTTGTTAAAGGTTACAGACAAAAGGAAGGTCTGGATCGGGCGAGAACATATTCCCCTGTGACAAGAATAACATCCATTCGCATGCTTATTTCTATAGCAGCGTTGTTTAATTTAGAAATACATCAAATGGATGTTAAGACAGCTTTCTTAAACGATGATCTAAATGAAGAGATCTATATGGAGCAATCCGAAGGGTTTGTAGTATCAGGGTAAGAAAAGAAAGTTTGTCGACTTGTAAAATCCCTTTGTGGATTAAAACAAGCACCTAAGCAATGGCATGGAAAATTTGATTATGCAATGCTTACTACTGGGTTTAAGATAAACGAATGTAACAAATGTGTCTATGTTAAAAACAATGACCAAGGATATGTCATAGTTTGTCTTTATGTGGATGACATGCTTATCATTGGAAGCAGTCAAAACATGATCAAATAAACTAAGCAGATGCTTAACAAAAGATTTGATATGAAAGATATGGGGGTCGCAGATGTTATATTAGGAATGAAAATTACTAAAGCATCTGACGGATATGCATTATCTCAATCACATTATATTGAGAAAATTCTTGGTAAATTTATCAAGGATGATATGAATTTAGTTAGAACACCTGTAGACGTCAACCTTTATTTATCGAAAAATAAAGGTGATGCAGTGTCTCAGTTAAAATACTCCCAAATCATTGGAAGTCTAATGTACCTAATGAATTGTACTCATCCTGATATAGCTTATGCTATCAGTAAATTGAGTAGGTACACCAGTAACCCCGGAGAAAACTATTGGAAAGCGATCATTCAGGGTCTTAGATATCTAAGATTCACCTATGATCATGGTTTGAACTTTACTCGATATCCAGCAGTACTTGAAGGTTATTGTGATGCTAATTGGATATCGGATACTAAAAATTCAAGATTCACTAGTGGATATGTCTTTACTCTAGGAGGCGTTGCTGTTTCTTGGAAATCCACGAAACAAACTTGCATCGCACGATCCACAATGGAATCCGAGTTCATTGCTTTGGACAAAGTAGGAGAAGAAGCAGAATGGCTTCGTCACTTCTTAGAAGACATTCCAATGTGGCCAAAACCTGTGCCAGCTATTTGCATTCATTGTGATAATTAATCTGCAATAGGCAGGGCACAGAATCATATGTATAACAGTAAGTCACGACATATTCGTCGTCGACATAATACCGTAAGGCAATTGTTGTCAAACGGAATAATCTCAATAGATTATATAAAATCTAAAGAGAATATTGCGGATCCGTTAATAAAAGGTTTGACAAAAGAGCTAGTGTATAGTTCATCGAAGGGGATGTGATTAAAGCCTATTACATAAGAGTCGTCATAATAGTAACCTTGCTTATATGACTGGAGATCCCAAGAACTAAGTTCAAAGGGACAACTAAGTTATATATGGCTCGCCAGAAATCACTAAGGGATTAAAAATTTCCTACCCATTCCTATGGTGAGAGTGATATCTGCAACATATGTTGTATGCAGGGGTATAAGGATAAGCTTTGCTTTTAATGATTACTTATATCTTGATTGAGGCATAAATCGAGACGAGTATTAGGAGATACTCACAATAAGAATCATCTATATGAGTGTTGAACTGGGGCCAGTTCTATGAGAATGAAGAGGCTAAATTTTCTAGAAACACTTATGAAAATCAGGCGCGTTCAAGGTCAAAATGAACACAACAGTGAGAACCACGATGTGTTAGAAGATATTTTGTGTGAATCTATTATCTTGGCTTACACAAACGGCTGAACAATTCAAGACATCGTGTCCATTGGTTAGCCAATAAGTCCGATATGTTATCACTAGGAAAGGTTCAAGGCCGAAAATTACCTATCCTGATGCAAGATATTTTCGACTTATACTCTTTCGATAAATCTGCATATTATTGCATTTCCGTTGTCATCAAATTCCATTCATGTGGGGGATTGTTGGAAATGGTTATAAATTCTGGATAAAACTAGAATCTTATCCTAAGTTCGGTCTATTTTTTAGGTGGGCCCCGTGCGTTGATGTTCACGGGTCAAAGTGGTAACGCGTTCTATGCCGCGTTGTGATTCACGTGGTATATTTGGTTGCTCAAAACCATTACCGAGTGAATGGAAAATTGAAGCCAAAGTGTGCTCCATAAAAATGGAGTTTTAGTGGAAATTTCTTAAGGTTGTAAAATGGCTTGTCCCACATTGATTTGGTGGGAGGTTTTGAATGGGTTTATAAGGCTTGGGTTTGGTACTTGGGGTGTGCCCCAAGGGGTACCCAAGTGTTTTAGAGGGAGAGGTTATGGGCAAAATGGGCTAGACCCATTGGACCCAAAAATCACCACACACGCGCGCGCGCCGCCGTCCGTCCGTCCGTCCGGGTGGGCTGGGCTTGGGCGCGAGTGCGTGGTGTGAGGTTGGGTTGGGCTTGTTCGGCCCAATACTAATCTTTTTGGGCTAAAAACATTTGAATTTAATTTTATTTTTTGGTAAAATAAAATTCATAATTCAAAATTAAATTGGTTTGGTTTTACTGTACATCCAAACAGGGCCCTTCCCAAAATAAACCGGTCTGGTATTATTACACACCCAAACAGGGCCCTTCCCTTCCCGTTTTGTTATCTGTTTGAAATATAACCCAACAGATTCAAATCTGTTTGAATTCAAAACCAACAGGTTTCATACCTGTTCAATTCAAAACCAATAGCCACCTTTACATCTATAAATAGACTAGCCTCCCATTCGGATTTTACTCCAATTTTCGTACTCCATCCTCTGCTATAAATCTCTGCATTTTGCTGCATTTATTTTCTGAAAGAAAGAGTGTAAACACTTAGTGTGTTCGTAAGGCAAACAATTTGTAGTGCTGTTATTGTTTGTAGTAGATCATTTCATCCTGGGAGATAAACGTCCAATTTCTGAAAGCACCGTGGAGAGGACGAATCTGTCTTAAGGACACAGTGTCAAACATTGAACTTGATCAGATTATAATTCGAAGAAATTAAATCAAGTAAGTTATTTAATTTATTTTCAGTCTTTTATTATTTATTTAAATCAGATTTTAATTTTGTTTTTGTAACAAAATAAAATCTGTTTTTATTTATTTATTTTTATTTTTATTTCGAGTTTGATTTTTGCAATCAAATAAATTCTCTCATTTCCTTTATTTCTTTATATTCTGGTTGTTATTTAGTACACAACAAAATTTAATTAATTTAAATACAGTGAAAATTGTCCTACAAAATTCACAAGGAATTGGCTTTGTAATTAACGTATAATTAAATTTACATTATATTAACAGACAAACCAACATTGTTTTCTCCACAAATACTCTTTTATCATTTTCTTTACTCCACTTTCTGGGAAATGGGTTAATCTGATTTTTGTTCCTTTTTTTTTTAACTTTTTGGTGGGTATGGACAGAGGGTACTTAACCATGTGGGGTAGACATTTTCGTTAATCATCATATATAAGAATAAAACACATGAATTTATGTAAAGCCAAATCACACTACTAAAAAGCAGGGCTTTTGAGTCGGCAGCTTGCCGTCGCAAATAGCGGATTTGCCGATGCAAAAATTTTTTGCGACGGCAACTCAAGGGACGAAAATGGTGGGGTCGCAAAAAGTTTTTGAGCCGGCAATCTGCCGACGCAAACTGAGGTTCCCAAGGTTCGAACACACACCTATTTGGACAAGTTGACCCAAGGTCAACGCACTACACCCACTTCACCACCACACCTCTTTCAGATATTAAACGAGATATATATTATTTATAGTATATACACTCAATATTAATATAAAAGTATATGTATAAATAAATATATTTATTAAATATAATCAAGTAAATAAATATATATCTTGGTTATAAATTTTTTTTTTTGCTACGGCATCAGTTGCCGACACAAAAAGGTCTAATTTTTTGCGTCGGCACAAATTTACCGACGCAAAAGGTCTATGCCGACTCAAAAGGTCTAAGTTCAACCAAAACACCCTCTATGAGGCACCAGACTCCATTTGTTGTGTTGCCTTGAAATCAAGACAGAGCTATGATCCAAGGAAGTAACAGCTGCTAATACATCCAGTGGAACCTACTGCTGGAACTCCTAAGCCAGGCACCTGCTAATAATATTCCACTGCTGACAAACCCAGAACCAAAAAACACCTCAAACACCTCAAACAGACAGCCTAATCTGATGTAGATTGGAGACAAAATCATGAACTGTGTAATCAAACTGCAATACCCATTTGGCCCACAAAGCAATATGCACCTTTATTATTTCACATAAGTCTTCAAAAGTTGATTGAGCCCCCTTGAATAGACAATCATTTCTCAATTTCCAAACATACCATAAAACATCTGAAGGAATTATCTGCCAAATTCTGGATGCCTTTGAATTGAACTTACCATCCGACCACCAATGCAACAGACCCTGAACTAATCCAGGCATTAACCATACCAGATCCCACCATTTTACCATTTCTGACCAACACTCCCTGACCACTGGACAAAATAGTAACACATGTTCCAGAGATTCCACTTCAACATTGCAGAACACACTAAGAGAATTAGCACTAGCAGCTAAAACCCCAATCATTTTTAGGAAGAATGAAGTCTTCACTCTGCCTCTCCAAGTTAGCCAACAAAAGAATTGCATTTTTTTGGGGAGGGAGGGGGGGCTGAATTTGCCCATATCCCTGCAGGTACATTCATACCAGGCCCTTTTGCTGCCACCCACCACCTCCACACAGAGGACACTGAGAATTGCCCTGAACTGTTAGCTAACCATGAGTAAGAATCTTCAATATCGAACCTAATTGTAGGGGATGATACCAGCAGACATATCAACCTCTGCAGCTTCTCTTATTCCCAAGCAAATAGCCTTATTCTGAATTGAAGCTGCCACACCCTCGAGTTACTCTTCTTAGCACTGAGTTGTTGCAAAGGCTCCTCTTTCTCAATGGATAAATGATATAATCTGGGGAATTCCACCTTCAATCCTCTGTTATGGACCCAGCCATCAGACCAGAACTTTATTCTCCTTCCATTACCAACAGTTACTTTAAAATGATCACCATAAAATTCACCTAGGTGCTGGTTGACTGAAGGTAGCTTTACAATATCCTGCCAAATAATGGACACTCCACCTGTGTGGGTCACTGATGGTATCCAACCCTCACCAGTTCTGCCATACCTTAAACACACCACAGATTTCCACAAAGCTTTGTCTTCACTTCCATACCTCCACCACCACTTTAGTAGCAAACAGTCATTCACCTCACCTAAGTCTCTCATACCTAAACCTCATTGCCTTTTGCTTTTGATAACCTCCCTCAATTGGACCAAGTGTACTTTCTTCTTATTTTCAGTCCCTCTCCATAGAAAAAAGGACTGAAGTTTCACTAAAGTCTTAACAACCCCCTTAGGCATCCTAAACAATGAAAGAAAACAGATGGGCAAATTTGAGAGGGCAGATTTGATCAAAGTCAGTCTACTCGCGAAAGATAACAACTTCCTCTTCCAAGAAGATAGTTTCTTCTTCACCTTATCTACTACTGGATGCCATGTACTCTTCCTTCTAGGATTGGCCCCTAATGGCAGACCTAAGAAATGCAATTTCTTAGTCATCGTTCAAGGTCTGGGCAAACTCCTTAGTTTGGTTCTCTTGGAAGCCCACACCACAAACAACACTCTTATGATAATTAATCTTTAGCCCAGACATCACCTCGAAGCACCTCAACACCCTTTTTATATTCAGCACTTCCTCCTTATCTTTTTCACAGAATATAATAGTATTATCTGCAAATTGGAGATGTGATATACTCAACTCATTAGATCCAACTATGGCACCTTGAAATAAACCTTTCTCTGTAGTCCTCCCTAATAACCGGTTGAGAGCTTCTGTTGCTATAATGAACGAGAAATAAGAGAGATGATCTCCCTGCCTTAACCCTTTTTGTAGTTGAAATTCCTCAGTGGGTGCACCATTAACTAAGACAGATATTTTAGCAGTGAAAATGCAAGTCTTCATCCAACTAATCCATTGTTCACGAAATTTGAAATTTCTCATCATTGACATTAAAAATTCCCAGTTTATTGAATTATATGCTTTCTCAAAATCTAACTTCAGTATAATGCCCTTCTTCTTAGATTTCTTCCACCCATCTACTACCTCATTTACTATTAGCACCCCATCAAGGATGTACCTGTCACTGACAAAAGTAGACTGTACCTCACTTATCACAGAAGGAAAAACCCTCTTAAGTCTTTTAGATAACACCTTGGCCAAGATTTAATATACTAAACTTACCAAGCTAATTGGCCTATAGTCCCCCAAGCCTGTAGGGTTATCCTTCTTAGGGATAAGAACAATAAAAGAGCTATTAATCTCTCTTGACAGCTTGCCATGTGTGTGGAGTTCATGCATCAACTGAATTACCTTCCCTTTTATTATTTTCCAACAACTTTGTATGCAGGCAAGGTTAAACCATCTGGTCCAAGGGCCTTGCTCCCATTACATTCTTGAATTGCAGCCCAAATCTCAGCTTCAGTAAACATAGCTTCCAAATTCATTGCTGCCTCAGGGCTAATACTAGCAAAAGGACCTGAAATTTTTGGCCTGTGCATCGAATGCTCAGTAAATTACTGACTGAAGTGCATCACCACCTCTTGTTTCACCTGAACTGGATCCTCTAGACTCTTACCCTCCACTAAAACTAAGTCTAACAAATTCTTTGTCTGCCTTCTACTTGCCATAATATGAAAGAACCTAGTATTTTTGTCTGCATATCTAGCCCACTGCAGCCTGGATTTTGGTGCTACAACCTCTTTTTATTTCTGCTGAGCTGCCATGCCTGGATTCTGACTTCTCTTTTTCTTTTAATTTCTAGATCAGTTAAAGACCTGGATTCTGCCTTCAGATCCCATTCATGTAACTCCTCCTTAGCTGCTTTTAGGAGAGTGTCTATATTGCCAAACACTTCCTTGTTCCACACCCTCAGATGATTCCTCAAGATGTTCAATTTTCTCATGACTCTATACCCTGCCAAACCTTGCACATGTGTGCCCTCCCACCTTTTTTTGACTTCAAACATGAAGGTAACGTGTGATTTACAAGCATTAATGAACTTGAAGGACTTAGGTCCCCAATCCCTATCATCCTCCTTTAGCAATATTGGGCAATGATCTGAAATTGTTCTAGGTAAGCCCCATTGTTTGAGAGAAAACTTCTCCAACCATTTTGGATCTAATAGAAATCAATCTATCCTGCTTCACCTATCATCTTCCACTGCTTTACACCAGGTGTACTGTCTGCCTAGCATAGGCATGTCGGTCAATTTCATCTTTTCTATAAACTCATTTAAATCTGTCATCCCCCTCTTTCTTCTTGAGCAGCCCTTTCTCTCACTCATATATCTGATTTCATTAAAGTCCCCTCCCACACACCATGGCTTTGGAAAGTGTTGATGAATACTAACCAAAGAGTCCCAAAGTTGTCTCCTCTTCATAGCCTTATTTGGAGCACAAATATTAACAATAACACATGGAAAAGAATTACAAGATATACCTGATAAAATAATGAAGTGCTTGCTGCTGCAACAATCCTGAAGCTCAAAAACCTGTGGTCTCGAAATACACAGCAGGCCATTTCATCTGAGTCTACCAGCATAAACCCCATCTCCTCAAAAGGCCAGATTGTTTTGACAAAGTTGTCATCCATTGGGCTTCTTTTGGTTTCTTGGAGTAACAGCACATTAATATCCTTTTCCCTCACCAAATTCTTAATTTTTCCCATTTTTTCTGGCCTTCTCAACCCTCTAACATTTCATGATAAAATCTTCATTACAACAATCACAGCTTGCACCTTAACCCCTGTTTAGACACTAGTTAGGTTCTATTTGCCTCTACTTCAGTTACAATTCTTCTTAAGTCATTCTCTTCCAATTCTACTATTTTGCTCACTACCTCTTCTTCTTGGCCTTGGCACTGCATTCCCAATAATGTTCTAACATTCACTATTGACTAAGCCTCCTCAATTAGATTTCTCATTCTTTTCAGAGTCTGACTTTGAGAGATAGACAAGGAATTGGCTGCTGTCATTACTGAAGCTCTAAAAATGGCTCCTCTTTGGAAGCCAAGCCTACCCACCATGCCTTTTTGTTTGATATGGCCTCTAACTAGATTGATGCCCCTCCTTTGATCACTGCCCTTCTTTCCTGAATTACACCATTTCTTTGTTGCTGCTTCCCAAAATTTTCTTCCTTGACCAGCCCTATTTCCACAGCCCTATGGCTTGTTTAGGCCAGAGTTGGCCTAATTTGGGTCTTTGCCACACAGTCACTGAGATTCAACCCCACTCCCTTATTTGACCCACTGGGCTCAGGCCCAACCTGCATGCCTTCAAGTAAAACTTCTAGACTTACATTGGGTCTTGCACCCGCTGGTCCACTCAGTTCTTTTAGAAAGCCTATAGTGCATATAGCCTCATCTAACTCATGAACTTTATTCATCATGGCCTGTTGTGAATTGACTTCCTGCACTGGCCCCTTCTCCCTAGAGCATGCACCTGCTAGGCCATTTCCCATGCCACCCTCTCTGACAGTTACAACTATTGCATGCTTACCATTATTTCCCCTAACCAGCTCATCTGATCTGGCCATCACTGTTTCCAATACCCTACTAACATCATCACATCCATCTACACCCTCATCTTTTCTGGTTGGAGTAGTTTGCCCTGCAATCTTACTATTACCACCATTGCTGGACATCTGATCTGTCCATTCTTTTGCATTAGAGTGCAATTGTTCATGTTGCATACCTCTGTTACTACTTGGACTCCGGAGTAAACAACTAGGGACTTCTTCACAGACTCTTACTAGAATGTGCTTATCTCTATGCTCCAAAAAAATTGTCTCATTGATCATCTCCATATACTTCGTTATCATTCTTACCTTAGCTTGATGGAAAGTTTGTGGGTTATTGATATCCTCTTTGAACTGAACTACCACCCCCCAATGACTACCAATGTTGCGAATAGTTGTAATACTCCAAAGATTGATTGGGATGCCAAAACAATTCAACCAGACACACCTCTCTTGCTCCAGAAACTGTCCTTTCCCCCATTCTTCAATTGAATCACACCATTGCTTTCCCCATCCTTCTAGTTGTTCCCTTCCAACCTGCATATGTTGTGCTGAGGGGAAGGTTAACAGTACTATGCGACCAATCCCCTCTCTTGCAACCACATCCTGCATCTCTCTTTTACAAAGTTCTGCTCTAAAGTCCTTAAAAGCTAAAAAGTTGCTCAACTGTACTACTAAGCTTTCATAACGCCAACCATTGCCTTCCTCATTAGCTTTTATTACCACCTGCACACCCACGCTGGCTCTGCCTCTTACTACTGCCTCCGCATATGTCTTCTTAGTTCCATTACCCAGCCCCTGCTGTATCTGTAACCGTTGATTCATCCTCCCTACATCTTCACCTTTGCTCTGTCCCCTTTGCTCCAGTTGACCAAATCTTTGAGGTTTTTGAAACTCTGCTCTTTTGACCGCCAGTTCCTTGTTGTCACACCACAAACCATCTGCCTTCTGGATTGCTATCCCTGTAGCCACCTCGCAATCGTATCTTACAAACCCAAATTTGGATCTTGATGCTTTCCTTCTCTTTCCTGGAATAAACACATCCTTAACTAGGCCAAACTTTTAAAATAGATTGAACAATCCTTCAGGATCCATGGAGTCTGGAATATTGTCTACGAATATAGTAACTAACATTGCCTCCTTCCGAAATCCATGCTGGCTACCAACTTTTCAATCCTTTGGTTGATGATTGGTCTTTCGCCTTGTCATGAGCATTCCCTTTGACTGTCAATGTGTAATAGCTAGTCATAATTAACCACAAAACATCTCATTCACAGGTACAAAGTGAACGACCTTGAAGCATCTACCTTTCTTTGAAACTTCTACTCTTCTATTGTACCGTCACAATATCCTTCAGTACCATTTTTCTCCTCCTACATCCTGCTGACCTAAGTAAACATAAACAAAGTGAGTTTACTAACATGACCTAAAATGCTTAAACCAAAATTACTTGGTAGCAAACTACTAGCATCTAGTATCACAAGGTCAGCCATGCAAACTTCTAATCGTACGGTTCCTTACAATTTAAACTCACATTTTTAGCATTTTAATCAAACAGTTGAGATTACATAATTAGTAACCATCTAGCCAAGATGACCAACCAATGACTAAGTTGCCAATTTCCATTAAAATTTAAAACAACTTAGCTTTGGA